CCTCTGCTTGTTACGTGAACACTGTTTCTTCCATCAACTTCTCATCAACTCATGGTTGAGGAGGTTTAAGCTCTCCTAGATGCTGGCCTGACCCCACTACTCTTGAAATAAACTTAGAAGTGCTGCAGTGCAGGTGAAAATCCAAGCGAGTCCCCAGTTGAAGCTTTTGTTTGATCTCCTGCGATATGCTCATAACTTGAACAAGGACAGACTCATGCTGCCTTCTCCAGACCCAGGAAACTCATGTCCCTTCAGCTTGCATTGGGCATGTTGGTCCACAATCTGATGAACACTGTTTCTTCTCATCAATGCTCCTCCGTGGCTGAGGAGGTTTAAGCTCTCCTAAATGCTGGCCTGACCCCACTACTCTTGAAATAAACTTAGAAGTGCTGCAGTGCAGGTGAAAATCCAAGCGAGTCCCCAGTTGAAGCTTTTGTTTGATCTCCTGCGATATGCTCATAACTTGAACAAGGACAGACTCATGCTGCCTTCTCCAGACCCAGGAAACTCATGTCCCTTCAGCTTGCATTGGGCATGTTGGTCCACAATCTGAGGGAGACAATGCAATCATAAGCAAAGAAAATCAGGGTAGTTATTCTTGATGCCTGCACTACACCATATTCCCCTTGCCATACACGAACTAAGCTGCTTTCCCTTGAAACGATAACAAAAAAAATCACCCAGGGGAAACTTGACACTGTTGTTTCAGGTGCACAATGTTCCCCTTTTAGGCTGTCTGCCTAAGAAAACAGCCTTGTGTGACCCTGTGCAGTGTATCCCTACGTCTGTTGCTTTATTGGTCTCATCACCCTTTTTGACCAGTTCCAGGTTGATCAGCCAAAGGGACAGAGCATGGAGGAACGTAACGCATGTGACTAGTGGGTCTACAAATGGCACAGCAGGTTATCTACGAAGATGCTTCCTGGGAAATGTCAATGGGAAAGGTGAGTGCTTGCTCCAGAGGCGAGAAAGGAAAAGCAAGATGATTTCTCCTAGACTACTTCACATCTCTACCACTTGAGATAGATCTCTAGCCATTGACCTTCTTCTCCCATTCAAAATATTTTATGCATAAGTTCCTAATATTAATTCCTTACTGAGATGAGTCATTGCCTAATGCTCAGCTTAGGCAAAATTTATCCATGCTGTGTTCTGGGAAAGGTTTAGCTCCAGATGTCCAGCCCAGGAAAGGCATGGGGGAAGGAAAGGAGCAAGACGCTTTCTACCAAGCATAGCCTCCTCTCTCTGTTTTTTAGTCACTAGCGCTAATGTTCCTTTGTCCAAAACATCTGCAAATCTTAATAAATCTTAGTAATCTTAGCCATAATATAGTATTAACAACAAGCAACACGTCCAAGCACATTGGAGAGCAAAAGCAAGCAGCACCAGTGTTCTTGCCCCAGGGTGCAATAAATAATCTTCAGAAACTCTACCCTCTCCAAAAGGAAGGAAATGTGTGTGTCCTCCCATTTTGCACACTTTATTCTGGAGAAAAATAAAGCTCTAGGGCTCCTGCCTGTGAACAACTTGCAGACCTGCCTTTCTTAGCTGGCAAGCGAAACATGGATTCTTCTGTGAACTCAGCTTGAGGTAAGCTTTTTCTTGCATCATCAACAGTTAAAAAAAAAAAGCTTTGCAAGCCAAACTACTTAATCATTACCATAATCACTGACTGCAGCAGCTTCACACAAATGTGGTTTATTTGAATCTCTCGGGTTGATTTTGCTGATGTAGGAGAGCAGCAGGCTCCAGATGCTTTAGCTGGCTTGGTATTGGTCTTCCAGAGCTAACAGGAAACATGTTAAAACATCTTAGCTTTATCATTGAAATCTTATCTAGGGGTAATTATATCGAAAGAGGTATGCTTTTCTGTTTGTTTGTTTTGTTTTTCACGGCGAAAGCACTTCTAGGAGCCACGAGCCTGGCTGGTGTGGTGCCAGCCAGCTAACGGGGAAGCAGTTCCTCATCTCTGTGATGGAGAAGCCCAGGGCAGAGGACTTGCAGATGCTCCCAAAAGTCCATCTGGGTGCACGCAGCTGCCGTGGCAAAGCCTGGCTGTGTCCCCCCTGGGTAGAAATACTAT